TACTAAGGTGGAAGGAATTAGCAGCCTCTTAGCCTGCGGAGTAATTTTTCTGGCTGTTGCCAAGGTGTGGTTTGTTGAACCACTATTTGTCGAAGAAGCTACAATTGGCTGGGTTTATACAAATTTTAAGCTAGAACACCACGTCTTGTTGCAACCCAGTCAATAAGTAACATTCACATATCTTTTTACCCCATTTAATACTAATGAAAATCCTGTTCCACTTCTGGTGGTGTTGATTATGAATGTACACTTTAAATAATTCCCTACCAAAAGTTTAAAGGAGGGGTTATCACATGTACATGTCTCTTCAACTGATGCTTTTGCATGTGGAACTGTAGAAGATAGACTGGATGCACCCCCACCCCCGTGGGAGGAAAAAAAAGTTTGATTTGGAAGTTTGTTTCAAAGGCAACTGGACTGAATTGATTTTCCATTTGAGGCACCTAATGGAATAGTCTTGAGTCAGTGCGAGAAATTGATGGCGTTTAATGTATGTTCACTCTCTTTTTCTTCCAAGCTCAGTGGATGATCTGACTCCAGCTGGCTTGAATCGATTTGGAAACCTGAAACAGCTTCCCTAACCGAATGAATAATCTGGTACCGAGTGTCAGTCTATGGAGAGTCTCAATCATCCAGGTCAGGGTGGTCCCAAAGGTGCTTTTGTAGAAAGCAACTGGACTTTTCTTGGTTTTTTTTCCTTGCAAACATTTAGCTTCTCTTCAAGGAAAAAAACGCGAGACAGTCCAGCTGCCTTTTGGAAAAGCACTTTTGAGACTACTAAGTGTCAGTCTAGTCCGGAGGTAGGCAACCTTGGCTCTTTTATGACTCATGGACTTATAACTTCCAGAATTCCTGAGTCAGCATAGCTGACTCAGGAATTTTGGGAGTTGAAGTCCATGAGTCATTAAAGAGCCAAGGTTACCTATCCCTGGTCTAGTCCAACCCCCTGCTCAGGCAGGAAACCCTACACCATTTCAGACAAATGGCTGTCCAGTCTCTTCTTAAAAACTTCCAGTGTTGGAGCATTCACCGCTTCTGGAGACAGGTTGTTCCACTGGTTAATTGTTCTAACTGTCAGGAAGTTTCTCCTTAGTTCTAGGTTGCTTCTCTCTTTTGATTAGTTTCCATCCGTTGCTTATTGTCCTGCCTTCTCCTGCCTTTGGAGAATAGCTTGACTCCCTCTTCCTTGGGGCAGCCCCTGAGATATTGGAACACGGCTATCATGTCTCTCCTCATCCTTCTCTTCATTAAACTAGACATTCCCAATTTGTTCAGCAGCCCAGGGCCTCCTCTACTCTCTGAGGCATACTCCGCATAACAACGACCCTCTGGAGAGCCAAGATTGTTTGGGCGCCTTGCTTAACAACCACTGTGACTTACGATCGTGATTCTAGGCTTAACTGTGGTCCTAAGTTTAAGACTACATGTCCTGCCGTTCGAAGAGCACGATTCTCCTCTTCCAGCCTTCCAGCCCCCAGACTAACCGGCCTTTTTGCTGGTTTCCTTCGGCATTACAGACAGATGAATGATGTCATGCTCAAATCATCATTCATTCCCCCCTCCCTCTCCTCGTCCTTACCAGTGGGGGGGGGGGGGTCAGCAAAAACCTCTGTTGAGAATCACTCATCCTTCCTAATAATGAGAACTGTCACCAGGAAATGATTTTCTTGCTAAATATTTCTCCGGTAGCTGATGTATAGGTTTGGGGGAAGGCGGTTGAGAGTGGGGATGGGGGAGACAAACAGCTTCCAAACTTCGTGGGCTAATAAGAGACCTTGGAAAAAGTGGGGCTTTGTGCTAGGTGAGGATGAGCAAAATGAGGCAGTGGGGGGGTTGCACCAGTTAGCTTGGATTCTCACTTCCATTATTGCTGCCGTTGAACTAAGCCTGCAAGTCCTACCATAAGCCAGGCCTGGTGCTTTGCAAAGGCAGAGCTGAAAGAACCAGGGTGTTCTGCGCATCGCCCTCGGAGTGCCTGCCGTTGTGACAGGTCTTTCAGCCATCACTTCCCGAATGTTCAGGGGCATTGCTTCCTCTGGGCTTTGTGGACAAGAAGCCTGGCGGCAGTGCAGAACTCACGGCCGTAGTGCTGCTGATGGGCTTCTGAGATGTCAAGTCAGCCAACAGAAGGAACCCTTGGCTCCGGAAGCGGGAGCTGGTTTAGAGCCATCCGAACGGCAACAAGAAGATCACAAAGGAGGAAGCGGCAGAATCTGCCCCAGGGGCAGAAAAAAGTGGAGCAGCATGATAATAATGAAGGGATGAAAAGTTTGTGCAATGTATATATTAACATGAAAGAGAGAGACAGACAGAGAGGGGGAGGGGGAGGGGCAGGAAGGAAGGAAGGAAGAAAGGAAGGAAGGAAGAAAAGAAGGAAGGGAAGGAAGAAAAGGAAGGAAGGAGGGAAGGAAGGAAGGAAGAAAGAAAAGAAGGAAGAAGGAAGAAAAGAAGGAAGGGAAAGAAGAAAAGAAGGAAGGAAGAAAAGAAGAAAGGAGAAAGAAAAGGAAGGAAGGTCTCCATTAGACTAGAGATACCTAGATCCCTCAACCATTCATCATGCGATTTACCTCCAGACACCCAATCATCTTCGTTGCTCTTCTCTGCATTCTTTCTAGAGCCTCAGCATCTTTTTTTGTACCGTAGTGACCAAAACTGGACATAGCATTCCTAACGTGGTTTCACCAGTTCAGCAGAAAGTGCTACTATCCCTTCATGTGATCCATGACTCTGCTGATTTGACCCTAAGGCAACTCCTCCACGATGATGCATCAAAAGACCAGCATCCCCCTGGTTTCTCTTCAGATCCTACAAATCTTTCCCTTTCTGCAGTTGGCTTGTCCTTTTGGCTCATGGGGGCAATTGTAAACCCGAGTGGGCAATCATCTAAACTTTTTTAAATAAATTGGTTACAGCCTGTGCCCTGGCATCTGAAAGCAAATAGCGTATTTCCCTGTGCTAGGAAACAATTAACACATTAGGAAGAGGGTAGATAATTGCTTTTCGGTCGCTCCTCCTTTCTCTCTTTCCTTCCTGGGCCCTTGCTCCAGTCTTTGTCAGATGCATCGTTCAGTAAGGTCTGGAGATGCTCCAATGCAGTCATTTCCTAGCCAGGGTCTCTCCAGATGCCCACAGAGCTGAAGGGCATGTGTTGAAAACAGGCACCACCAGAAGGATGTCTGTTGCAGATCAGGAGAGAGGAACACAAGGTTTTTGCAGGCTCTGTTACTTTTCCTCGGTCTGACCTTTTAGGGGGACACGCCTCGGAAAGCAAACAGGCCCGAAAGAAACTTCAGGCAAGATGGCTCATTTTTCTTATCATGGTTTGTTCGTCAAGGCTTCATCTCCCAAAGGGGACCACCTGTTGCAGCATATCCAAGATGAGTTCTGTGACCATGTTAAAAAAACGAGCAAGATGGGACTGGATTGACGCTCATGCTCAGTCTTGTTTCGTTTGATTATGGCAAGCTTTCTCAGCCTTACCCATTTTTAAGATGTGTTGACTTCAATTCTCCTTAGTTCTAGGTTGCTTCTCTCCTTGATTAGTTTCCATCCGTTGCTTCTTGTCCTACCTTCGGGTGGCTTTGGTGAATAGCTTGACTCCCTCTTCTTTGGGGCAGCCCCTGAGATATTGGAAGACTGCCATCATGTCACTCCTAGTCCTTCTTTTCATTAAACTAGACATACCCAATTCCAGCAGCCCTTCCTTTTATGTTTTAACCTCCAGTCCCCTAATCATCTTTGTTGCTCTTCTCTGTACTCTTTCTAGGGTCTCAACATCTTTTTTACATCGTGGTGACCAAAACTGGATGCAGTATTCCAAGTGTGGCCTTACCAAGGCCTTGTAATGTGGTACTAACACTTCACGCGATCTTGATTTGGTGAAGCATTTGATCGTTCATTCCATCCCATCAGGCTTTTGGCCTCACCCTCTTTCCGTTGAGGACGTGAAGCAGCGGTTTTTTTGTCCCAACGTCCTTCCTGCAGCTCTGTCTGGAGACAGAACTTCTGTCAGGAAGGAGCAAAACGGCCTGGAGACAGACTCATAATTGAGGCGGTGATTCTTAAAACATGTTTCCCTGGTCTGGAAGGGGAAGGGGAAGTTGCCTCGTTCCGAGCCTGCCATAAATCAGGATTCGTGGGCCAGACAAGATAAATTGGCACCCGGTTCCTGGAGAAATTAGCCAGGTGGGAAGGGGTTGCGTGCTGCATCTCCACAGGGCCAAGCTTGGGATTTCACCACAAGAGGGCAGAAAGAACTGAGTTTGGGGAGAAATCCACTCGGTTCCTTGCAAAATTCACTCGTTTCCTCCTTGAGACTTGAGCAGGAAAACAGTTGGACCTCAGATGTTCTCCTTTGCGAACCCAGGTGTCCTCTCTTACGGATACTGAGCAAGCAGAAGAAGGCTGCAAGGAGAAGTCGTAAGGTGGAAGAGTTCTGCTCAGTGTCCAAATCAGGCAACGTTGACCTCTTCCAAGAAACCCCTTCCACTTTGCCGATGGGCCCGACGGGGAGAGGAATTATTTGCATCACTCGTTGATTTTTAATGTTGGGTATAACTTTGCCTTTCGGGATTGCCTTCAACTCAAATACTACTGTCAGTTCTCGACTTTCAGGGTTGCCCTCAACTCAGGTACTATAAGTCCTTGACTTACAACAGTTCATTTAGTGACCGTTCAAAGTCTCAACGAGGCTGGGAAAAAGTGACTAATCGCCGTTTTTCACACGCACCACCCTTGCCGCTTCCCCACGCTCCCGTGACCAAAATTCAGATACTTGGCAACTGGTTCATATTTATGACGGCTGCAGTGTCCCGAGTGTCCTTGTCACCACCTGAAACGGATTGCCGGGCTGGGGACATTTTGGGACAATCTAACTTGGTCTCTTCTTCTTTCTCTAGCTTCTGACTTCTGCCGACTCGCCTCTTTATGCTAAACCTAAAAAGCTCTCCTTTCCCGGTTGTCCTTTCCTCACAGCTCGTTCCCTTTTCTTTCCCTCCCAG